TGGAAATTTCAGAAATCTTCAGAGTTTCTGGGGCATTGAGATTTATGACAGCTAGGTAAAGAGAGGAGAAAGCACAGAGTGGAGGCAGATAGGCTGGGTCTATATCCTGGCTCCACCTCCTACTAGCTGTGTGACTTTTAGTAGGTGACTTAACCTCTCTGGGCCTCAGTTTTCTCATCTGTGAAATGGGGAGGACAAGCTATAGAAGTGGCAGGGCTGTTACTGTAACGAAATGAGGCTCATGGCTAGTCATGGAGCCTGGCTGTGGAGCCCGTCCTGTGCACCTAGCCCACAGAGGAGGCAGGGTAAATCTTGATTTCTGCCTTTGAGACCAGGGCTGAGTTTGAGAAGGTGGGGCCATTGGGAAGCAGACAGAAAGGAGTAGCTGCAGGCCAGGGAGGCGGCCAGGCTGAGCTCCCACCCCTGGGTGCAGGAGGTGAGATGAAGCTTCCCACTCACGGCACCAGCACCACTGGCGTGCCTGCCCCAGGACAATCCCCTCTGCCCTCCCCTGAGCAGGGGCTGGGCAGGAGGGAGGCCCGCAGCCCCTCCCAGGTCTCCCCACCTCTGCTTCTCCTCAGCACTTGGTTCCCATGCCATCAGGCCTGTGTTCACCCTTTTACGCCATCCCTCCACCCCTGGAGCCCCGGAGTTGCTAGGCAGGCACCCTGTGATAGATCCATTTTGCAGAAAGGGCAACTGAGGCACAGAGAGGTTCGGTGACTTGCCCACGGGCAGACCAGTGAACAGAGCTCAGACCGTGGGCTCAGCAGCCCCGCTTCTTCTTGGATCTTGGATGAGACCCCCCTTCCTAACCTCGCCCACCCCTCCCTGCTGCCGCTGCCTAACTCGCTCACCTCTCCTCTGTCTCTCTCTTCCCCCCCCCCCCCCTCCCTCCTCCCCCGCCCCCTCCCCTCACCGCAGGGCCCGAGGGCTGTAACCTGTTCATCTACCATCTGCCCCAGGAGTTTGGGGATGCTGAGCTGATGCAGATGTTCCTCCCTTTCGGTAATGTCATCTCCTCGAAAGTGTTTGTGGATCGGGCGACTAACCAAAGTAAATGCTTTGGTGGGTAAAGATAACAAACCAACTAGCTTCACCTAGGACAGGGCGGTGCTCGCACCGATTTACCGAAACTGCTTTAACCTCCCCTCATACAGCTCCCCACCCCCACCAGGTGCCCCCTAGGGCCCAGCCTCCACCCACCTCCTCTCACTCTTCTTCTCTCTTCTACTTTTGGCTTCTTGGCTTTCCCTGCCCACCTCTCCTCCAGCTCCCCATCCCCCCTTCCCAGTCCAAGAGCTAGGTTCCCCTCCCTGCTAGGAGTCCCAGTTCCCACCCACCGAGAAGGGGGAGGAGCCACCTTGGGCTGGGGTGGGAGGGGGCAGCCAGCAGAGCACGTCACCAACACCCATTTTCTCCCCTTGCCCCCCCGCCCCCCAGCCCTTCACCTCTCACCATCAGAGTGGCCCCTGGATGAAAGCCTGATCCTTGGCGGGGTTCTGCCTACCTGAGGCCCTACCCGCCTCCCCTTGGCTTCCTCCCGTCCACCTCTCTGTCCCTCCCCTCCCCCTTCTCTGTCTACCCTGCTCTTTGCTCCCCTCTGCCATCCAGTGAACTCTCCTTCCCCTGCACCCCCTCTCAGATCACCAGGCCACACTGTTGAGTCAGGAAGAGGAAAGTGGCCCCTGCCTCAGGAAGCCTTAGGTCTGAGCTTAGATGGAAAACCACACCTACTCAACAGCAGTGAACTCTGCAAGGCACCTAGGGATGGAGTGCTGAGAACGGCAGGTGGATGGCAGTAAGGAGGGGAGGGAGTTCCAGGCAGGGAGGCGAGAGTGGACGAGAGGGGGACGCTGGAGGCTTCGGGGAGAAAGGAGGGTTCAGGGGAGACCATGTGAGGGCGGGTCTGTGCTGGGGAGGGCTTGGCCCTTCGGATGAGGCTGTTCCAGGTGGTGTGGTAGGCAGGGGAGGTGGTGGGAGGTCCTTGAGCTGAAAGTAATAGAAAGAAGATACAGCTTTCAGGAAAGTTGCTGGCAGCAGGGTGTTAGGTGGAGGAGGGAGGACTGGGCAGGATCTTGGAGTCTGGTTGTCGGGTAAAATATAGGGTGCCCAGTTGTATTGGAATTTCAGATAAACAATGGCTGCATTTTTTTAGTATAAGTATGTCCCAAATGTTACCTTCAAGGTGGCCCCTGCAATATTTGAGATATGTGTATGCTAAACAAGTATTCACTGTTGATCTGAAAGTCCAACTCAACTGGGCATCCTGTGTTTTGATTGGCTTCAGACATGAGGTCCCACTTCATCCTCACAGCTCTCCCCTCCCCTCCTCCTCTCCCACCTACATCAGCCCTTCCTTCTGGGGCCAGAGCCACTCAATGGTTCACCAAGGACTGAGGAGTCCAGCCCCCAGAGAGCCCAGGTCGTAGCCGGGGGGTGGGGGTGGTGGAGGGAGAAGGCCTGAGCCTAGAAGCATCAGGAAGAGCATGTTAAGGAAATTCCAGTTTGGGGACCCACTTGCAGGACCACGACGGGCCTGAGGTTTAGGGCGCGTGCTCCGGACAGTCAGGATCTGGGCTCCCTGTCCCCTCCCCTGGAGCCTGCGGTACTTCAATGCACGGAGCTGCCTTCGCAGCTCATTTCTCTTTGGGCGTTGGGAAAGCTAAGCCAGAGGGAAAGGCAGGGCTGCTTCTCTCCACGGCGTGACCGTGTTGCTTCTGACGCATTACCGTCATGTGTATAAGGACCGGAGAGCCTCACCTTTGCCCTGTAGTTGGCCTCAGGCGTTGGATGGACCCTAGAACACTGCCAGGAGCCACAGCGTGCTGGCACCTGGGATGGAGCTGCTTGGTCTCCAGCCAAACCCTTGGTCATTTGCTCCGTCCCTGGCTGTCCCTGACGTCCATCCGAGCAACCCAGCTTTTCCAAGGACTTCCTTAGTCTGCCCAACCACTCCTCTGGCCCTTAGCCATTTAAATTCTCCAGGACCAAGGGTTTCCCCCCTGCTTTTAAAAAAAATCTTCTGAATACCTCTGCTCTGGCTCTCTCCTCTCTTCCTGAGCGAGCTTCCAGCACTAACATCTTCCACCCGCCTGAAAAAGGACAGTCTCCCACCAGGCCTGCCAGGGCTCCAGTTCACACACAAGCCTTCTGCCAGGCTCTCGGAGGCCTTTTGTGCGAGCACCAACCCGGGCACTCACTCAGGGGCAGTCAGCGGCAGTGTCCTCATGTGTGAAATAGGACTCCAGCAGTCAGCCCTCCAGGAGGCTCTGACTTACATGGGAAGGTGTGTGTGAGGGCACGGCCAGAGAGGACCCTCAAGAAGTGCTAGATCTCTCTCTGTTCCCCCAAAGAGGGGGCCATTTTGTTGTAAATGTGGTCCTATGTGAAGTGAACCCCTCAAAGGCCCCCCTCGCATTTTATAAGCATAAACGGAATCTTCCAGAGGCTTTTTTTGGTGAGCAATGGGCAGCACACATGGTTGCTAAGTTGAAAGAGGGGCTTGGGGGGGAGGGTCACCAAGGTCTGGGAGGCAGGAACTTTCTTGGGTGGAGAGGGGGTGTGGGAAGGGACTCGGAGAGAAGGAAGGCAGTAACCATGGGAGATGGTGCCCAGAGCCCTGACAGTGGGGGACCAGCTCCCTTCCCAGGCTGCTGGCCAGTTAACAGAATTAGTTGAGGAAGAAAAGTTCCCTCGAGCCTGGTGTCCTCCCCAACCCTGGGGCTTCTGGAGACGCCAGAGTCTCCCACAAAAGCTGGGCTTTCCTCCGGCAGGGCCCCACTGCCCCTTCTCCCCACTCGGTGGCTGTCCCTCCCTTCACACCACAGCCCTCCAGCCCCTTTTATCTCTCTCAGCCACCAGCGCAGGTGGCCAGGTAGAGCCAGAGCTGGTGGTGCTGGGGGCCCAGCAGAGGAGAAGGGGTGTAGCTGTCACCCACAGCGAGGCTCTCTTGTCCCTACAGGTAGAGAGGCTTTGGTTCACCACCCTCCGTAGTCGTAGTCTGGGGAGAGCAGTGTAACAGACACACAATTCACACATCTGCCCTGCAAACAACTAGACCAGCCTTCAGACTTCTAGGTTGGTGGGGAGGGGATGGGTCCTGAGGGGATGAGATGAGGAGGTGGAAGGATTATTCACACTAATCTTCAACTATGGATAATCCCGAATCTCTCCTATCTACTCTGGCATATAGACTTTTACAGACGTTGGTCGTGTTGTGCTGCGTTGGGACTGGCTCTAACCAGTTCCATCTGAGCTTACATGCCCCTGCGGGTGAGAGCACTCACTTGCTCCCACATACACCCTCCCCATCTTCCATGGTACTTGGCTGCAAGAGCTGATGTGAGCAAACACAGGAAGTGTCTGGGGCAAGGGAAAAAGGGCAAAACAGCCACTACCAGGAGAGCGAGGGGGGGGACCGCAGGCAGGTGGGAGGAACCAGGGACAATTAACCAAGAAGGCAGCTTCTGCTTCAGTGTGTCTGTACATCTACCCTTTATATGTCTCATACTATTTGGGGACAAGCCCCCAAATGAAGCAGGTTTGCAGGATGGCCTGGGAACTTCACCACACTTAGTTTTCATACATTTTGTAGGGAGATTTTACAGGAGAAAAGGCCTCTAAGTCAAATTCCAGGAAATACTAGGTTAAACAAAGAGATAAAGGTTTTCTTATTGGAGAATTTGGGGTGGGAGGGGAGGCTTTTATTTGTTAATGAGCTTTGAACTGCCCCAGAGGGACCTGGCTGTACAGCTAGGAGGCCACAATAAGCCCCCTTTCAAGGAGGCCTGTTAGGGCCGTTCTGGGAAATGCTGATGTAACTCGCAGTAGATGCACTAAAAGTTGCAAAAAGGTGACTTCTAACTGGACTTTGGAACCTGATCCATCTGGGAACTTGGTGTTTCAGAAGGTGACTGGGAGCCATGGGTGGTTCTATACCTTGTCCTGGAGTGTTGGGGGATGGGCGGGGGGGAAGAAGGGGTAAAAGCACTAATGCAGGCTCTCAATTGATTTTTGCTGAGAGTGTTAATTTGTACTGTTATTGTTATAATACTATTATTATTGTTAAGGGGGGCTCATGGGGGTCACATCAGCTGCTTAGTCCAGGCCTAGAGCACTTGATCTCAGGGCTTGGAATTTTACAAAATGAAAAGGAGATGCCCGCAGCCCCTGGGACGAGGTGGTGGGTTAATGGAAGAGGGTCTGGACTGAACCCCGGTGTCCACCAGGAGCCCGGCCAGGCCCGGGAGGGG